CAACGGCAATATTGTTTGTCTGAGCGTGCTTTCTTCTGATGTAGCTAGATGGCCCTTCAAGTCGCATCAGTATATATGCCTACAGCTGTCCGAAAACCAAATCAATTTCGTGTTACTTATTTCTATTTTTTCCTTATAACCTTATTGTATTGATTTTGTTTGTAGCAATATACAAATAATTGAATTGTGTGACTTCGAAGGATATTTATATGTAAGTGTTCCATCTCCCAGTGCAGTCCTCAGACTAACTGTGTAAGAAAAGCTTGTCTATCACAGTATAATGAAAGCAGGAATAATCTTGTCTGCATTATCCTTTATTGCTTTCTGTTGAAGAACGACTGAAGCATTTCAATACCTTGAGGAGGTCAAGCCACTTGTCCATGCCACAAAGACGTGGCAAGCATGGAGAACAACATTATGTCAAAGACCTGTTTTGAATGGCGCCACTAGATTTGCGTATATGAATACACAATCATGCGAGCCGATGTTTTTATAAATTGAGGTTTGACTTCTGTTTAGAAATCATTCCATGCACACACGTACAGCTGGATAGAATCAAGAGTTCAAGAAAACATAACTGAGAAAGTTGGTGAGGAAAACGGAAAGGTAGACAATGTCTTATTTAGGGTAGGAAATTTAACTTAACGTACAACAGAATCGGAGATTCTAACTATTTTTTTGTCAAGCTCAGAATAACAGCTTTCCCAACCATTTGGGATTTGCAATGTACCATATAATACACGTGTTTAATATTAGTGAAGTTTGAGATGTTCTAGGTTCCAATTTCCTTCTTAAAAAAGAGTTTCGTTGTCTTCCTTTTGTTATTTGTGCAATTTGAATGCCAAAAAATTCAATATTGTTGAATTTCTCTTCGGATGCATGAATGTATAGAGGGTCAAGCAAGGCTCAAATGAGTCGTCGCTTTTACACAGGCGTCAGGGCAAAATGACCCACAATTACAATCGATTGCAGCATGTCTACGAAGGTATACCAGCTCAAAAGATTGAAAAAGATTTCGTGCTTTACCTTCAAATTTGATTCATTTTACAATGAAGGAACCTTATAAAAGGCACCAATGCAGTCAGACAAATTTCTTTTTGTTCATTGCATTTCTTAATTGGCGTCATGTACTCCACGTGTTTCGTCTGAACGCTACATCATTACAGACATTTTAACACAAACTGAGGATTTAGGAGGCACAAAGATACGTTATACGCAACTTAAGCAATCAATAAGGAAGACTGAAATATTAGGATTCAGTAAAAATACAGGATGCACGCGCTTGAACAAATATAGAGAAAACTTGAAGAACTAGGATACACTTGAAGAATAGAATAAATTAACTTGAACAACGAATTCGGACACAATGAAGATAAATAGAGTACCCAAGTAATAACATTTTCCTTTTTTTCAAGACATATCATTCAGAATATGAAAAACAACGTGAATATAATGTTACTGCTGTTTGTGCTTACCTCGGCTTGTAGTCAGGTAAATGGTAAGTTCACGTAAATGCTCAACGCCAGTATGTAAAAACAGAGTAGCAGAGAAATATTCAACACAGTTATAATTCTTTTACAGCCTGGGAATGTGTACATGGAAACTGTTACTACTTCAGTGATTACAAGACTACCTGGCTTGAAGCAAGGAAGTTTTGTATTAGTGAAGGTGCCGATCTTGCAGTTCCCTTCTCAAAGGCAAACAATGATTACCTTTTTAACGAAATGCAAAAAAAAGCGATTGAAAAGGCTTTTATTGGTTGGTTCAAGACGGCTCCAGGCCTCGACTCAAAATTCTACACTACCAACGGTCATCTTCCAGTTTTCACCAACTGGGCGAGCGGCCAACCCAGTAATAGCAATGGCAATGAAGATTGTGGCGAGATTGCTATAGATCATTATAGTTCTTATGCAGATGGAGTACATAACGATCTGCCATGTTCATATAAACGTCATTTTATTTGTCAAATAGCTGGAAGTTGCAAAGCCGGTAAATAAGTGTGAACATTTTTTATAAATATTTTAAACTGTCTAATTCACGACTATATGGAAAACCTTAAAAGAAGTTTGATTTTTGTAGTAACTGTAAGTCAGTGAAATGTGTTGAAATAAAAATCGATTTCCTCAATTGTGATTATGATTGTAAACATTCTTAAAACTCGCTTAACTTGAAATACTTGCCCAAAAATTTTTTGTTAATACATCTGATGCAATGACTTTGAATCCCAACTACAAGATACCTGACGTCACCAAAATACTAATGGTAAGCAGCCATCTTGAATAAATCCAAAGCTTACGATGTGTACGGCTAAACCGTGCCTCATGAGCGTTGGTATACACACTAAAAGAGTTGATAGTCTTTCATAGTTTTTAAAATATGTGATAGGATTGGGTTTTTTAACTATCTTTTAACTTATTTTGATCGACTGTCTCTTCTTTTGCCAAATTTTAATTTATTAAAGAACAGAGTAAACAATACGACATTCAACAGTGCGTAGAAAACAGTTCCATCGAGCCATTTGGTTGCCACGTCACGTGACCATTTATGCCTCTAGGTGTTGTATCTTAACTTCGTCGAGGAAAAATGTCCCTCAACGTAATAATATATTTATCACTACACAGAAATTGAAAAGTAAATGTGACAAAATGTCCATTTTCTGTTTGATAGTGGTACACGTGACCACATTTTACTGTAAACATGAACTGGCAAAGATGTTAAAACAGTTTGATGTGAATAAACGCTACTATTTAAAAAAAATTTAATAACAATGACGCGATTCAAAAGCTTTCATCAAAGGAAGATTTAATGGGAAAATAAAAATGAAACAATAGCTATCTGAAATTTTGTACAAAAAATACAATAACGCTGCCATCTAGAAATTTTATCTGATATATCAATATCAGTGGCAGGATCTAGGGTGCATCAATCAAAATAAGTTATTAAAGCTCGTTTGGGGTTTAAAAAATACCTTCGATACCAGAAGTTTAGAAAAATTTTATTATTCAGAAATTGAAATATTCAGTTTTATTTTTAAGGTATTTTGTATTTAAAATTGAGCATCTGTAATTTATTTTGACTAACACTGTATCCGTCATTGTAATATGAAATATTTAATCCAAAAACGTTCACAGACTTGTACATAAATAAAGTTATGAGCATCATCCAAATTGGCATAAATCAGAGTATATTTTACGTAAATTTCTCTTCTGAATCTAAGTTTTATGATTATGTACAGCATTGCCTAACAATGACAATTTTGCATCAACTTTTCTAATCAAGTGCTTCAGGCTATACCTTGCCATGTCTAAGAAGCGTAGAACCATATGCCAGTATTTTCAACCTTCATTCTACGATAGGACTGACTAAAACACTTTATCAAAAAACATTAAAAACCAAGCTCATATTACTGTTATAAGAATTCATGGCTTTAAATTATTGCAGTTTCCTGTGGTCTTGGCATGGAGTAACGAATTGAATTTACAGCATGGCAAACCAATTGAAATTTTTGTTTCAAGCCCAATCTGTTATGCAAGGGATTACTATAACAGCAGAGATATAAACTTCCTTTTTGGCCAATACGAATGATAAAAAGGCTACAACCACCACCTGTATTCTTATTGAATTTAACCTTCGGTAAATCAAATAAATTCACAATCTTTTGAGCAATCGTTGAAGCGATAACAAATAATTTACATCAAAACTATTTCGTCAATAAATTTGAACATTTGAAACTGACAACACTATTTCTCACTTCAACCAATAAAAAAGCTATCCTGATGAACAAACACCATAGAAAGCTTGGATAAAAATATCTTTCGTTACAACATCTGTTCTTCTTGTAATTTCAATTCCATCCCTCGACGTGCAACTACGTCAGAATTTATGCATCTTTCGTGCTGTCTTTCATACGTCAACTTTACTTTGTATTTGTGGAATAAATTGATCATCAAGATCTCCTATAGTCCATAATTTAGTTCAGCTTCAATTCTTCCAACGGCAATATTGTTTGTCTGAGCTTGCTTTCTTTTGATGTAGCTAGATGGCTTTCAGGTCGCATCAGTATATATGCCTACAGCTGTCCGAAATCCAAATCAATTTGGTGTTACTTATTTCAATTTTTTCCTTATAACCTTATTGCATTGATTTTGTTTGTAACAATACACAAATAATTGCATTGTCTTCCTTCGAAGGATATGCATATGTAAGTGTTTCATCTCCAAGCACAGTCCTCAGACCTACTGCGTAAGAAAAGGTTGTCTATAACAGTAATGAAAGCAGGAATAATCTTGTCCATGTACCAAACACGTGGCAAGCATGGATAAGTACATTATGACGAAGACCTGTTTTGAATGGCACCACTAGATCTACGTATATGAATACACAATCATACGAACCGATGTTTTTATAAATCGAGGTTTGCCTTCTGTTTAGAAATATTACATGCACACACGTCCAGCTTGAAGATGGAACTAAGAGTTCAAGGAAACACAACTCAGAAAGTTGCTGAAGAAAACGGAAATGTGGCGGGATCTTTAGGGTGAATTAATCAAAATATTTTATTGTACCTCGTTTGGGGGTATATAGAGGTAACTTTTTGGTAAAATTTTATCATTTAGAAATTCAAATATTTAGCTTTCTTCTGAAGTTATTTTGTACGTAAAATTGAGCATCTATATAATTTGTTGTGACTAGCACTGGATCTTCCATTGTAATAAGAACTATTTCATTACAAAACTTTAACAGTGTCGTACGTATAAAGTTTTGAATTCTACGAAATTTGGCAGAAATCAGTGTACTCATCATGTAATTTTTTCTTCGTGATCTAAGTTTTTTTATTACTTGAATTTTACCGAGAATGACCACTAGCTTTACAATTTTCAATCATTTTTTCTAATGAAGCGCTGTGGACTATATGGTCTGCTATGTCTTAGGAAAGTGGCATCATATTCCGGTATTTTCAATTTAGATTGTAATAGAAGGCAGACTGCAGCACATTATCCTTTATCCGAAAACTTTAATAAGAAGGCTATCGAATATCGTTATTATACATCATTCATTTAATCAAATTTAGCAAAGATTGTCACTTTAATTAAATGTACTGCTGTAACTTAGCAAACTCGCAAGTTTTGGTCCGGTTATGGAAATTTCCGAAAAATATTATACTTCATTTCTGTAGCAATCGATTATATTCAGGTCTAAATAGTGTTTCCAGGCCACACATATTTTATCACGAATGTGATTACCATAAAGGCAGCCAGTCAACTGCATTTTCTGCTCAATGGGAATGATGAATAATAGAAGCCATTGTTCTCTACCTACAAGATGCTTCATTTGGCAATTCAACCATGTTGCGCTCGCTTTCATAAAAATTGAAATCATTAGCCATTACTGAATAAAAGGAAAAATGAGTACATTTAAACTTGTATAGACAAGTTCAGTTGAAATTCACATATTTTGGAATTGGTACAAACCAGAATTTGAAGTCATCAATTGTCTCACAACAGTCAAAACTCGGTTTTTAGTGCCTTCATTTAAGCAACGGGATACTTGAGGCGAAAATGATGGAGCTGCTGGCTGCTGGCAGTAAAGGAGCTAAAGTAGAGCCCGAAATGTATTCACTTGTGTCTTCTGAAACAGGATAAGATAATACCAATAAAAAATCTTGTTTACACGTAGCTATTGCAACAGTTAATTCATTTACACTTGGCTATTTCAACAGTTTCTTAAACAGTTAGCACTGAAAATTGTTGATGGTATCAAGATGACCGTAAGATTTTAATAATAACTTACACTCAACATCACTATGATCAGTCTTTCTTCATAGCATTTTCTTAAACGAGGTCTTTTCCTTATAGGTTCTACATCTGAATCTTCGTCAGAATCCAAAATAGACGTGACGAGGGCTTTCTTTTCAAACTTTATGGCCTTTTCCCATGTGTCTATACAGAAATAATGAAATGCATATAACAGAAGAAAGTTGTCACCACCATATAGCACATGTCACTGAGCGCAAAACTACAAAAGCCAAGCGTGATTAACACAGCATACAAAAAATGTTGTAAATGCATATGCAGCATTTGACTTTTAAGGATATCATTTTTTTGAAAATCATGGTATTGTATACACAAGAAAGAGAAAAATTTGCGTCAATTGCAGGAATGTATAGGCTAGGAAGCAAAACATGTTTGAGTAAATTGAAATAAGTATAGTTGCAGATGCTACTTGTTCCATGGAGCATAGTTGTGTGTATCAGGACGACAACAGATTGGCAATTGGGAAAAGGATTTATTAGTTTCTTCTAAAGTCAACGTATATAAGCCCCTTTAACAATTATAAAACCGCTGCCGAAAATATATATTTGACTCTAATGTGTAATTTACCTGTATAAGTGAATATCCTTATTCTGAAACCTTTCCAAGCGGTTTTATCTGGAAATTCAAGTCTCTTTGCTCTTGATCTAATGTTTGTGCGGAGCCAATAGCATATTATATTCCATAATAATGTTTGCAAGATAATTCATCACTAAATAGGAACAAAGAACCATACTTAGCTACAGTAAAAAATAATCTTTTCTTTCAATATTGCACTTAAACCATCACAGGTTTCTATCCAACTTTTTGCTACAACTTCAACCGACTTTTCCTAGAGAAATTCAACCACAGCAAAGTCATCACTTAGCATCTAAATCGAATCACCTGCGTAATAAGTTATGCTTGAAAGAAAAAATTTCAACGGATGTGCCTTACTGTATATTCGCTGCTGCTAGCCGAGATCACAGGAAACTGCAATTGATTAAAGTGTCCCTATCAGCAAAAAATTTTATTAGCGATATCAAAACTTGGTGTAATATTTAAAGCTTCGGTGAAAAAATATTTTCAATTTGTTCAAACTGTTTTCTTGTTATGGAGGTTTAAAGTTGCCTTTTAATGGACATTGTCCGTCGTGGCATGAAGTCTGGGCAGGCGCGGATCCAGCTCCTTAGCTGACCGATGCATTGCGAGCGCCGAAGGCGCGAGCTACCGCTAGGGGGGTCTGGGGGCATGCTCCCCCAGAAAATTTTTGAATTTTCACTATCCGAGAAGCATTTTCCAGCGATTTGGGAAAGGTGACAGAAAAATCTTAAGCGTAAATTTTATCGAAAAAATAACATGAGCCGTCTTTTGCAAGATAACAGCATTGATAAAAGCAATGTTCAAAGGTGGTCTTCTCCCAACGGTAAAAAAGATACAAAATGTCCAATATCCAAGGGATCAACATCTGTCATATCAGTTTTTACAGATTTTGACAAGGGACAAGAAGCATTTGATACTTTTCCATCTTCAAAGTCGCATGAAAGAGGTCCTAAATAAAACGTTACTAAGATGTAGGTATACGACTACATTCAAAATAATAAAGCCTGAATGCGTTAACATGCAAGGTCATATATCATAGGTCATTGTTTTTTGGTGCATTTGAGTGAAAGCTTGTTGCCAATTTGACGATCTCATGTTTAGAAGGAAGGATTTATTCACATGTACAAAAAATATCCTCCATCCCACAACGAATACTTTATATTGCATGGTATGCTTTACTTATGTTCTTAGAAAAGCATGCTTACCTATAATTAAAATATATTTGCACATGAACAATCACTAATTTAACCCACGTTTTAAGGAAGTCTTCAAGCAATCATAGCTGCTGCCATCTAAGTCTTCCCTTGGTGAGGATTTTGCAGGTGCTACCAAAGTTGTGTCTATTTGTTGCTCAAGTCCACTTTTATTTTTCTGTAAGACATCAACTTTAAAGTGGTCAGTAGTTTTTTTTTTATTATTAACTCTTGAGTTATTAGTTTGATTAAATTCAATTAGTGGTACAAAATGATTGGGTTGAAATTCTATATCTAATTCTGGAAGAGAATAAGCACCAGTAGTTGTCCACATCAAAATTAACTTAGTAGGCTGAACAAGTTGACTTGAAATATGTTGGTGTGCTTGCCGTGGAAGAATTTTACCATTTAGAAATTGTGAATATTTGGTCTCCTGGTCCAACTTTTCGGGATAAACTGAAATTATAGTCATTCCAGTGACAGAAGACAAACCAAATATACACATAAGTGAAGAATAAGTACAATTGCATGCATTATTTAGAGCTTCCTCTTTAACTACTATTACCTTTGTGCTTGGATTTTTCCTATCATAGCCATTGCCTAAAGCCACATCTGATACTGATGCAGAAAAAGAAGTATTTTCCGACTTAAAAAAATGCAACTTATCTTTTAAGTACGGGTGGTTAGCATAATACTCCTGGTGATTGAATAGCTCAATGCTTGTCAAGTCTCTCAGCAAATGACATAGGTCTTCCTTGCCACAAAGTAATTTTGAGCAGGCTCTGTACAGACAATTACCATCACCTCTAGTTCTAAATGTAGCAGAGTTAAGAAAATTCTCATTGTGTGGCTAAAAATTAGAAATCAGAAGAATTCAAAACTTAAATGTCTGACAGGGTTATTTGGAAAAGAAAATGTTAGCTTCTACTGAAGTCATAAGTATATTGGAAGAAGGAATACAGTCATTACATTTTTAATATAATCCATACAATACATAAACTAAAATGCAACTAAAATCGCACCTACCCCTGCATATTACAGTTTGTGTTATATTACATATGAATACAAGTATAAGTGCTGGATAAGTAATATGACATCGTGTATATTTTATGATGATTGTTCGTCGTTATCTACACGACTACACTCTGAGTCTGAAATGAGTGCACTATTTACATTTAAAACATGCAAGCATAAAGGTAAATTTACTTACTTTAAAGCTCTTAGTTCTCCACTTTGCCAATGAACTGTCAAGTGCTTAGGTATTAACATTTCACTTGACATATCTCTCCCATTTTTACCCTTTGAAAAGGGATTCCAAGGAGAGGATTTTGAAATAAAAGTAGCAGCTCTCGTTTCATAGGTTCGACGCACTCCATTAATATCAAATGACTTCTCTTCTCGAAGCAGAGTACACAGATCGTGTTTGATATTCTCGACAGCCATGACTTCGATCGATGATTGCGAGTTATATCAAGTGATCAAATAACAATGCATTCAACTTTGAAGTTCAAAGTTGAATGCATCGGTGCCATGTGCCCACAATCACAAAATTATGGAAAATGCATCGCTCAGCGGCAAAATCTACCGTGACGTGAGGCCCTAAAACAATGGTTTTGCTGATGTCACAGTAGATTTCACGCGGAAAAGGACTCGGGACCGATGCATCGATCGATGCATCGCAAATCTACTGTGACGTAGCGATGCCTCTTCCATCTACCGTGACGTGCTGGCAGAATACTATTAAATTACTTACTAATTATGTATTCACGACAAAATTTCGCTAAATTTTATCGACTTTTCTTTCGCTATTTGTGTCATGGAATACGACAAAATTATCGGAGAACACAAATGTTATTTCTAGAACAAATTTTAGCTTAAAACTGCTAAATCTATAAGTTAACTAAACAATATATCACTGTCAAATGTGCGTTTTAAATAATTCGAAAATAATATTTGCTATTTATTTCATTAAAATGCAAACTCGCAGATTTTAATATCTAAATATTTTGACCGATGCATTCGCATCGGTTGCATCGGTCTAGATCCGCCCCTGAGTCTGGGTCTAGCCAAATTCTGACGTCATCCAAGGTAGTTGGTATATATATCTTGTATTGTGGAATCTCTTGCATGACGTCACAAAAGCAAGTCGTTCCAGACTTTTTGAACGATGGACAAGGTCCATTAGATGGAAAATTTTTGCTAACTTTAAATAGCAATGAAAATGGAACGATTTGACAAACGTAAAAACTTTTTTACTGATACTTTGAAAATCACACCTAAATAAATATTGCTATTAAAAATTTTTGCCGAAAGGGGCACTTTAAAGCTATTTGAATTGTTATATCAGTACTATGAGCCTAGTTTTAAAAATTTTCGATAAAGTGTTGCAGTCTGTCTTATCCTAGAATTAAGGTTGAAAATACTGTAATATGATTATGCTAAGACATGGCAAGGTATAGCCTGTAGCACTTGATTAGAAAATTGATGCAAAATTGAAAAGTTAGTTGTCATTGTTAGGCAGTACTGTGCGTAATCAAGAAACTTAGATTCAGAAGATCAATTTACGTAATGTATACGCTGATTTATGCCAAATTTAATAGTATATATAACTTTAGTTATGTACAACTCTGTTGACGTTTTTTGATTAAATCTTTCATATTACATAGGCGGATCCAGCATTTGCCAAAAAAAATTATAGGTGCTCCCTTTTAATTCAAGAAATCTTCCTAAGAAAACTAAATATTTGAATTTCTAAATTGTAAAATTTTACGAATCAAGTTGTCGCTAAAGCATTTTTTAAACCACAAACGAGGTACAATAAATAATTTTCATTGACGTACCCTAGATCCGCCATTGGTATTGATGTTTCAGAAAAAAATTTCTAAATGGCAGCGTTATCGCTTATGGTAAAAAGCTAGCTATTATACACAAACAAAATATTCAACTAATAAATTAATGATCTATCTAGCGATTGCTGCCTCAACTCCGTGTACGATTTCAGATAGCTATTGTTTCACTTTTATCTTCCCATTCAGTCTTCCATCAATGAATACTTTTGAATCGTTTCAGATTTATACAATTTTTGTTGATGATCGCGCTCATTCATATCAAACTGTTCAAACATCTTCGCCAGGTCTTGTTTACAGCAAAATGTTGTCACGTGTATCGCTATCAAATAAAATAATTACATTTTGTCACCTGTACCTTTCAAATACTGTGTAGTGCTCACTCTATGTCACCAATTAAGTCGGGGGTCATTTTACCAAACAAAGTTAAGATACGATTTATCCAACAACTAGAGGCATAAATCGTCACGTGATGTGCAATCATATGGTGCGATGGAACTGTTCTCTTCGCACTGTTAAATGTCGTAACGTTTACTCCGTTCTTATAATAATTAAAAATTGTTTGGTCCAGTGCTCTGGTAATAAATCGTTTCTACACATAACTATCTGTTTCGAGTGTTTGCTGGCATAAGTAGACACCATAAAGTAACTTAGCCATCAAAATCAACATATGAAGAATTTGGCCGAAAAGAAAATTACTGATTGAAAAAACAGTGTCCTTAAACTGGTTTTTCTTTTTAAGTTTCACTCGCTGATCAAAAGCAACAACAAAAGTTCATCTTTTTTTCGTATCTTAGCCTAATTAAATTTAGTCCCATAAACAAGATTCACGATCGTAAGACTTCAAACTACAGAATTGATCTTGATCAACTCCTTTGCACAAGTTCACAGCAAACCATTTTAGGCTTTCAGTTTTAAGACTACTCTCCAGCAAATTCTTGAATGATTTAAATACTTCATGCATATTTTCCAAAATGTTTTCATTTTCAGGTGACGTAAGTGACCTGAAACGTTCACGTACGATGACGTCACTCAATCTTTTCATTCAAATCTGACTACTCATCACTTCCTTACAGCTAAAATAAAAAAGAGAATACTTACTGCACAAATCGTATAGCAATGTTCAGAAGGATGGTTGGAAGAAAATTGGATCGCCACTGGTTAATGCTATATGCAGTTAGTAAGTAGATGGAATTTTTTTCTTTTCTTTCAAAAACCTTTAAAGGAAAAATTGTCACGGTATTAATAAAATACTTTGAGTCATTTTTAAACTGTCACTAGTAGATTGCAGTGCAGTTTATTTGTGATTGCTCAGCAAAAAAGTGTAATTGCCTTTCATTCAATGCATAAAAAACATGGTGGCAGTTTTAAGTAAACAAAAATCTCCACAATTGCAATCTTGTGAAATTCAAGAATTTCAAAAAATGTAAAGAATGTAATGTTTTTGTGGTTAATGTTTATGAAAGTTAGAAAATTGCAAAGATTGTAAACAGCGCTCGAACTTCGATAGTATTTCGTTGCAGTCTTTAAAATAAACTCACTCTCGTATGTTTATTCGTAAGCACTCGAAATTTTACTATTCCCCTGATGAATTGCTCTATCAATTAAATTATACGTTTATTCAATTGTAACCATGTTTCATCCTATCGAAGAAATACAACCAGCATTTTTGTATGCTCGAAGAAATCTATATTCCATGTACTCACCTATTTTTATGAATTCCATTTTTAAATCCAAGTGGCTTTGCAACTTGTGTTTTAGCTATATTTTTCTCTTCCTTACGCATGTAGGTCTTTTCTGGATTTTTTCTTTTGTGGGGTAACAATTTTTCATCTTGTAAGTTCGCTTGGTGTTTTTTTCCTGCAAGGCTTTTATCTGTTTTTTTTTTGTTGGCATAATGAGCACCTAATGGTCATTTTGCCATGCATTCATTTCTGTTAGTTCGTATTACATAATATTCTGGTCTTTTTTTGGTTCTTTTTTTGCTTAGAAGAAGGTCGATAGGAGGCTTTTGTTTTGGATGCTTGGTATGTTGGTACATATGCTGTGGGATGAGGTGTCAATGCCTTCTTGTTTGCCGTAAAATCTACATCTTGTAAGTTCACATGCTTCCTTATAACTTTATTATAATTGACTGGTGTGGGAATTTGAGAATTTGGCTGACACCCAAAACAAATTTTAAGTTTAAAGTCCATCAGCTACCTCCTCCCTACTTGAACAACTAACATTTCCATTATTTGCGTGACTTTGGATATATTTCGTTTTGCAAATGTCCGAATAGCAATCATCCCATTCATTACCAATGACGGAAATGCCATAAATTTTACCATCTTCATCATTTGTATAAGACAAAACAACAACCTGAGCAGAGAGGGCTTTATCAAAGTCTATCGGATCGTCTCTGCCATTAGTCCAATCATTAATTTTTACTTCCTTCATGTGATTTACCAAATTAACACAATGGCTTATGCTCTTCGTGTGATAAAGTAAAACACCTGCTTTACGCCCTGAATTTTTAAAAGCATCCTTCACTTCTTCCAGTGAAAACCCTCGTTCGAGGAGTATTTCTTTAAAGAACTTTTTTTCATACAGGAAAGGAAGTACTTTCGGGCATGGCAACAAACCATCCATTTTCTCAAGTTTTTCTTGCCTTCTGGTCAACAAATTTTGCTGCAATTTCTGACACAACCTTGACATACAAAAAGGTACGCCTTCTTCGCGTAGCATCACTTGCAAAGCAACTAAACCGCATGACCGTTTGCAAAAAATCATTTTCCGTGGATCAAGACAGCATACCTATATAATTATAGTATATTTTACCATCGTAGCAAACTCGATAATTGGGTGTATTGAAGAAGATAATTGAGAAATTAGGATTGTCAATAGTTAGCAATATACGCATACTTCGTTGTCTGTTGCCCGTTGTCGTTGCCTGTTGTCTGACTCGTTGCATTGTAAAGGAAGACTTTCTCTGTTGGAGCTGAGCATATTTGTCTAAGCAAACAACAACAACAACATATTAAAAAAATATTCAACGTACATATTGACAGTTAGACTGTTTGGTTTCTGTAATATCCATAAGCAAGAATCGTAATTAAATAGACAAGATCAATACAAGCCGGAAAATGGGAGAAGTTGCTACTACTGATGGAAAATAAAATCTTACTGCTATTAAAGTATGAAATTATGATCATGTGAAATAATGAGTTGCTACATTCTAAACAATACTTTAATAACCAAGTTTAGAAATTTAAAATCATGATGATGGGCTGAAACCTAAATAGAATCAACAATTAAAAAGTGTAAAAGATCTATGAGTGAATATTACACAAAGACAAAGCCCGAGAACGGGCAATTTGAGGAAAATATCATTGACCATAGTTTGCAGCATGTTCACATACTTGATGGTTTATACATGATTCATTGTGTTCTAGGGGAAAACTTTCTTCCCCATTCTTTAGTATATTTTGAGACTACAATAAACAAAAAACTTACATTAATTGATATAGAAAGCACATTTTGACTGTAACAAATGGCACATAGAAAATGAGAGAATGTACCATTTTCAGAATATGCATACTGACTGATATTGAAGTGCCTACAGAATTATGATTTTGTGTATCAATGAGTGGAATATTAAACAGTAGGGAACCCTTGGCTGTCTTATTTTTTAATATTAAGCATTGGCCAAGATTAAACTTTTCAATCAAACAGTCTCGAATTTGACTGATTAAAAAAAGCTGATGTAAGAGTCTGTCTTCATATCAACCACTTTACTCACATCATTCACATTGTCTTCGTGTTCTTTGAATGTCAATAACAGTGATTCAGTTTCCTCAGTTGCCTCATGCTGAAAAAAGATCAATGAAAGTTATGTTGAATGAGAATCCTATACATAATTCTATGCCGATCAAGTAAAGACATACCGGGTGATCTTCATTTTCTTCGCCTTGTTCTGGCACACCTGTCGTCGTTTCCTGCACTATTTTCCGCTGCAATTGAAAAATATTTCTTAAAAAAATTCGTTCAAGAAGCAAAATGTTCGATTATTTACTGTCGTTTTCATATGCGTGAAATGGAATTTATGTATGTCATAAGTTTTAATTTTGCCGATAATGCTGTAATGTGAAATTTATGCTTTTATTCACATATCGACATCGCATACTTTAAAAAAACACCAATTTAGAAATAAATACCGAGCAGCGCTGCAACAGTAACGTGGCCCTGTCGCTCGATGCTCAACATAACCAAAAATATATGCTGTTCACCGGTCAAATTATCTGCAAATTTTTGTGTCTTTTTCCGACATAATCGATGATTTTTTAGACATCTACTCTGTCATCCAGCATGATTTGCTTTTACTTAATTATTTCATAAATTTTCTTGAATTTCTATATGTATCGTTGTGCTCATTTATAAGACCGTGACCTACTCTAACAACTTATAAAAGAAATACCTAATACTGATTTTTTAAAGATTTTTTGCGCATGCTCAAATGCTATGTTTTCAAAGATGAAATCTGATTGAAATAAGCGCTAACTTATCGAGATGCTCAAGCAATTGAATCAGTGTTCTCGTGTATTCGTTTTAGACTTTGCTAGGTAAGTATAAACTTTGGTTTCACTGAGAATAATGAATTGTGTTGTTCTGCCAACTGCAGCCGATAATTTGAGTTTTTTATATCAAAGATGAGGAGTAATACGACGAATTTCGTTACAAATTCGCACAAACAGTTCTTGACAGACTTTTTTTATCAAAAATGAAAAGTTACAAAATTACCTCTATCTTTATATTGGCAAATTTATCGCGCATCTTTGATACGAGTTCATTTTCAAGCTTTTCAACTCTTCTTTGTTCAACTTTGGAAGTTTCAATAATCGTTTGAAGGGAACGTCGAGATTCACTAATGTTTTCATGTGCAACTTCCAACGACAGCGGTTCACGGATTGATCGTAAACGTTCCAACTGCAATTCTATTTCGGCTACGATCTCCTTTTGCCTGGCAAACTGTAATTTTTTAGAAATATCTTTGTGAAAAGTGTCACCAATCATGTTTTAGTCAAGAAGTAAAAGATGTTTATTGTGTTTGCACATGCTTATGTAAGCAGAGGCGACGTTCTAGAAAACTATAAAAAGAAAAAATTTAAAACAACTGTTTCAATTTTTTCTCTAACATTTATTCATGATTTATTTGACAATTCTTTTTGATTTATTCGATTGATTGATCTCAGATCGGTTTGCAGAGGCTGATGAAAATTCAGCTATAGACCAATCAGCGCACGCGTTTTGTTGTTTTTATTTTGCAAACCTCCCTGATGCATGCAAATCAAGAGCATGAGTTTTTATTTTTCATACTTCTTTTGCTTTCTAAGACTAAGTCGATTTTTTGACATTTATCCATAATAACTATTACGTCAGTACAAAATAATCAAAGAAAGAGAAAAAAAACTTGAAAGCCTGCAATTGCATAGCAGACACTACCAATTTTTAGCAAAACATGCCCTGTGCAATATTATATGTATGCTCTTGAGATTTTAAGATACATTCTTATTCCAAGCGTTCAGCATATTAAAATAATATGTGGTGTATATTCCATTAAACACGTAATCATAACCAGTTCAATCAATCAACCACGGAACGAATATTATTGAGGTATGTCGTACATTACGTCTTATGGAGGTAAAAAACCGTTTAAAGAGCATACAAACTACAGCTACTACACCTTGTAAAATCAAAACATCGTTAATGAATGAATTATTGGCACCATATCCTAGCTTATTCTTTGCTGTCGGGTGATGTCAAAAATTTACAGATTATTGTTTACCGCTTTTAACGACGCTTTCAAGTGATTATTCAAACTATTATCCACCTTTTGTGTTGTTTACAAGAGCAAACACGAGTTTTTAGCGTTATATATAAGTTTTTCGTATGAGCTTCGAACGTGAGTTCAATGTACTAGAACGCTATTAAATTTTGTGATTATTTTATTCACTAGCGAAGAAGTTATTTACAACAGTCGTGAGTGTTCTATCTGTTAGAATTTATTTACAGGCTTTTTATGTATTTGGCTAAACAAGGTGCAGTTATTACAAGGCGGATAATGTACTTGAAATTTGAGTAGTTTTACGTAATTATAAAGTAAAGTGCGTAAGTTTAAGTAGCGCGTTTAAGTAAGTGTAGGATTGGCTATTTCCTCTATTGCTAATACATAAATCTAGATGAATAATATACGCACGTTATGTACGTCACTACAAGTTCATGATGAATTTTCGGTAATGTAATCTCTAACATCATTATGCATAGTTTCTAATTTCTTGAGTAAACTTTGAGCAAAAATTTGCTGAAATTTTATGACGTTTTTGATTTGTTACTTTGTATGTGTATGAAAGTATATTACTGCCTGTTTCAATTTAGTTGTTATATTACATTAAATGTTACATTGAATGGGGAGAGTTTATCACAAGATCATTATTTGGTCTTGCAGTAATAGGGAAATCCCCGAGAATGACCTAATTTAACTCGTTATCAATCTATTGTTTTACCACAAGTTGACACCAAAATATTTACCTAGCTCAATTAAATCGGCAGCTGGCTACAAATAACTGGAAATTGAAGGTCAATAACTCTTATTTGTTTACAGAAAGTCCTTTTCACAAATGAAGTTCATTTTTGATATTAAACAGAGCAAATATAGTTAGCGTTTCAAGTGAAGTGATGAGCGCTCAAGCATTCAATACACGGAAATGTTAATATTACAATTATATTTAAACTCTTTGATGAAAATACAGAAAGTTGCGAAATCAATGAAACCCATTTGATGTTATTACAGATATAGGGCTATGAAAACAGACAGAAATGTGCAACGATGTTGGATTTAAACTTGACACAAAAGCGTAGGAGGTAAAATTACTAAGGAAGCAATTTAGGCAAGTGACTTGCCTTTGCTAAAGAAATGGCTTATGCAATATTTTACTGTATTTCTTAATCCTTTTTGTGTCATAGTTGCTAAAAATTGCTATATAGAGTACCTCATCAAGAAAATGCTGGTCCAATGTCTACGCTGCTGTCTTCATGGCCATCTTTACACCCGTACAGAGAACGACTTTCCTAAATAAGAACATAAGAGTCCATTCAAATTTAACCGTCTTTGCACTGAAGTTTTCTAAGAAATTAATCAATGCTAGATCATTTCAACTAGGTATTACGTGCAGCATTTACAGCGAACTTCAAACCAAATGACGCAATACTAATTCACTATTTTTCCTCGGGTGAAACGAAGTAAAGTAATGGTTTATTACTTACTTATTTCCTTTGAATCACAGCACAATGTTTAAAAAGATGTGGTCAATCGAGATAAAATCAAAAATGCTTCTTCAATAAGTTACCTTGATCTTGACAAGCCGCCATGTTGACATCTACTGTTAACTGCTTTGAAAATTTGACATTGAAATCATAAAACGAGCGCAGCATGATGTCAAGGTCACGTGAAATTGCATTTAATTCATTAGGTATAGATTATGAAAGAATGTTTTTATGCAGTGCGGTGTTTGAAAATAAATGAAGATATGATCTTCGCACTTTGCTGGACAATTTAAGCAATTGTCTCATGAACCTGAAAAATTCAGGTGACTCAACGGGATGCCTGACCTCTGCGGTGAACCCATGACCTCTGCGGTGCCTGTGCAGTGCTCTGACCAACTGGGCTATGAAGTCACATAGGTATAGATTACACTGGTCAACAAAAAGAAACTTTTTAAAAGGTGTCTGATATTTTTTGACTGATTTACTATATTTTTGCTATGCTAAATCTAGAAATAACATTCATTTTGCTCTCGGAGGTCAAATTTTTTTGCAAATTTGACTTTGAAATTATGCGACTTTAGTTATATTTTTTTAAAACAATGTTTTCAAGATTTACATGTTTTCAAGATGTTTCAAAACAAAATGTCAGTTTTTATGATAAAATTGCAGTATTCCAAGAAAGAATCATGTACACTTCATGTACAGTACATTTAACTAAAAATGAAAAGTTAATGTTTGCATTATTACGGTCTAAATTTTCGTTTTTTTTGATGGTCGCGAATGTTTTGGTGCTTGCACATCTCTTTTTAAATTCCAACAGTTGTCCGCCATCATCACAATGCCCCACTTTTCTCTTAAGTCATGGTGAAAGCGCTCTCCTTGCTCATCGCTTAAAGAGCCAAGATTTTCGGGATCAATACCAGCTTTTAATTTTTCAGTTGAAAAATTGGGGAAGGTTTTACACAGAAAAAACACCGTCCATCTTTATCCAAAGTTTTAGTGAATTGCCTTATCAAACCGAACTTTATGTGCAGAGGAGGAAATAAAATACGTCCCCTGTCAACTAGAGGCTTGTTTATCACATTTTTTGCTCTACAACTTGCAAGCTCTTCACGTACTGGCCATTCTTTTTTCACGTAATGATGAGTACGATCCCCACTATCCCAGAGGCATAAAAAGTATGAGTATTTGGTAAATCCAGACTGTTGACCAAGCAAGAAGTTGATCATTTTTAAGTCAACGCAAATCAGCCATTTACGTTGGTCCTAAGAAATTTTTTCTAGGACGTACTTAATTGCTGCATGCTGTTCTTTTAATGTTGTCGAATGTGCCAATGGCGCAGATGCAAATTGATTTCCATTGTGTAGCAACACACATTTCAAAGACCTTTTGCTGCTGCCGATAAAAACTCGCCAGTCCTCTGATTTGTAATTCAGGTACGCCGAGATGTTTCAGTAGCTCTACTATGTCATTGCGATAAACTAATTCTTTTTCTTGAGCAAAATATCTTAAAAATTCCTGGTGCCTGGTATGGAAGAAACTTACCTTAACTTTACCATTTAGCATGCTCTTGTCCTTTAAACGAGATGCAAGAAGTTTGGCAGAGTCTTGGCAAATTTAAATCGCGAACAAGATCGTTTAGTTCGTTTTGGAAAACAATTTTGGCTGCTCATCATTGTCATCGGGAAAGGATGCATCATCGGTAGTGGCAATGCTTTGAGTTTCATCCTGGCTACTGCTTTCTTCAATACTTGTATCTTGAAATACAAGTACGGGAATTTCTTCACTATAAGGAGTAGGGCGCATAGCTGACGGTAGATTGGGATACTCCAGTGTTGTGCGATTTTTTCTGTTAGTTCCCATGACATTGATAGCACAAAAGTATCAATCGGTTGCATGATTTGAAGGCTCTCGCAAAATCATGGGGATGCCAAAGCTCATGGACTTTTGCGTGCCTTTGCTCCATTGACGGAGATGCTCTGTGCATCATTTGTAAACCATGTGAGGTGCCCAACTTTTGTCTTGATCGCCGAGCTTCATGCCAAAATATGCATTGTAAACGCGCTTGATAAAGGTGGTGACAGTATTGCGATTTGGTGCAAGTGTGTATTCACCACAAACATAGCAAAAAACATATGGCTTATTTTTAATACTTTTTATTACTTTTTACTTACATTAATATGTTGGTGTGTTTTAACAAGTTTTACCATTGAATTCCAGTATGGGCTAAATAAAGCCTTATTTTATCTTTAAATATCCCATAATAATCGCAAAACCGAAACTCCCTAATTGAAATTCAATCAATAATTGCTTATTCAAATGCTTTCTTCTTTCTATTGCTAGTGCTAAAAAATTTAAATTTGTTCAAATGATAGAACTTTAAAAGGTAAATGGTTAGTACATCTGTTGTACCTTTCTCGGGTATTTAAAAGTTAAAAAATAGAAAATTAACGATAGCTTAAAATCTCGACCTGACCCAGCAAAAATAATGTTATTTTTGGACTCAGCACATCAAAATTGTCCAAAATCAGTTTACAAAACTGAGACACCAAATTTGCTGTTGACCAGTGTTATCAATGAAATAATTTTTAAAAATGATAAAATTCTTGGAGATGATAGCATGTCGATTTTGGCAAAATACTTCGTATAATAAAGAAACGAATGACCAGAAAAAAATTTTCCTCACTACTTTCAGGCGATTTTTCTCCAAGATAAAATATTTTCTCTAACACTATATCTATATGTTTTAGCCTAACTTGAGGCCTTAACTTCTTTTTAGCCAAACAAAGACGCAGTAAACTTACTAAATATAAATTCTAGCCTCCCTTCCCAAGGTTTAATTTCGAGTCGCCGTCCATGTTACTCATTTGTCTCATCCTACATTGGCAAATGCGCATAACTACTTCGAAGTTTCAGCGACAATAATTAAATTTATATTGCCTATGTTGTATATGAAATGATTTCTCCGATGATGGTGAAAATTTTCAAACTACGAATAGAATATTTATTTCATGAATGTGGCTGTCGTTAAATTGCGAGCGACCAATTGTCACCATAAAAACACATAAAAAGAAAACTAAATTACTTACGCGTGCATCATTCTGCTTTGCTAATGTATAAAGACTAGCTGATTTCCCCAATAATTAGCCAAAATTGTAAATTACGTATTTTCATTAATATGTAATAGCTGTTGACGACAGTTCTTAACATTTGTAGTACTTATCACTTAACGTTTTCAGATGGAGTCAGTCACCAGGGGCAAAAGCTGTACGTTTTTAAGAAATAAACTATCTATTTCGCGTATATTTACCCCTCAGTCAGAGTGTTAATAACAGAAATTTCGACGCTGCATAAATTTTATGTTTCTTTTTGTGACTGTTGCCGAAATCCTTTCCACAATTCTAACCCTGGCT